GAATTTAAGTGAAATTTTTTCATCGATTTTAATTAAGTGGTTTTTAGGATATATTCGCTCAAAGTTTAGAAAAGTTGCACGTGTAATCACGTGATCTAACCCTAACGTAACCTTTGATTTCACGTTACACCTGATCATATATAATTTTATTAGTATAAGTTCGAATATGTTGGAACGCCACGTCCAGATTTTTCCAGTGTTCCAGTTAGGGCATGCCAAAGTGGCATGGAATGCCAATGGCATGCTAAATTGTCTACGTATTGGGCATTCTACGTATTAAAAGTCAGCGGTTATTCCTAAAATTTCCGATGTGGAATGTGGAAGAACCTAACAAGGTTCGAATCCGAAACTTTTACTGATGCATTTGTGCATAATTTCACAAAATTACCAACTAAAAATTACAAAATTTGCCAAAATAGGCCCACCAAAAAAATCACAAAATTTACCTTAGACCACAACAAAATTTACGCAAAAAATCATCGTCCCTGCTCTAAATGCGCAAACGAGAATCATGATTCGCTATACAAGGGAACAGTTGCTTGCATTGCGTGATAGCCCACTTGTTAAAAAACCGGACGCTCTACCACCAATTAGTACCTGGTTTGGGTAAATTTAAAACTTTTATTTTTCTTCGCCTTAAAATACCATTCAACAAATCAACAACTTAGATTAGCACCATTTTTTCACATAATTCTTATTTTCATAAATAATTGTTCTTGAATAAGAACAGAAAGTCCATTGCTTGGTATAAATTCTGATTCTTGATTTTATTTAAGTGAGCCGATCGTAAAAAAAGAGAAAAGAAATAACTCAGAAAACATTCAAGAAGATGAGAAAGGGTATTAATCGATATATTTTATTAATCGATCAATCTAAAGGATTATGCTTGTTGACACTTTTTAATTTTAGCAAACAATCTAGTCAAAACTTCGTTGATGGATTAAATAAATCTAGAGACGATTTGACTACATTAGGTATTCCGAAAAGCCCCTTACTAGGGGTTTCAAAGAGTCCTAACGGATCGGAGCCGACATCTCCAAAACCATCAGGTATGTGTTGAAATATTAATCAGTGATTTTTGTAGTGATTAGAATTAATATATTGAATTTTTTAATTGAAAATTTTAGATAAAATTGTTCTTGGTCCCCCTAAAATGAATTTTGCTTCATCTTCTGTTGGAGGATTAAAAAACTCGGAAGATAAACCAAATCATGCTAGGACTGGCAGGTCTGATGG